AAAGAAATTTAGATCTTAAAAAGAAAATAACATCAATAAATACATGAAAACTAAAATGCACTAGACTTAAATCCACTTTTTACAGATTTAGTATAGATCAGCCATCTAATCTACCTGGATTAGTCCATATATGGCAATATGTTTACAGTAAGTAATAAAGCAAATATACTTCATCTATGAAACCATTATGGAGCCCTAGTGTGGTGCTGTAGGATAAGCACTGGACTGGTAAACTCAAGGTTGGCAGTTCAAGTCCACCAGCCACTTCTTGGAAACCCTATACTATGTCACTGAGTCCGAACTGACTAGACAGCATTCACAACAACAACCTGAAAGTATTAAAAGGAAGATCAGACACATTTTATTCCCATAAAGAAGTAGCTCTTGCTACGTCTTAACTCACTCGCTATTTATTAAACTCTGTTTAAAATTAAATACTTGGATATGCTGTTGTTTGTTAGGTGCCATTGAGTCAGTTCTGACTCAGAGCAACTCTACCCACCACAGAATGAAACACTACCAGGTCTGTGCTAACCTCACGGCTGTTGCCCATTGTTGCTACCACTTCGCTAATCCATTTGTTGAGGGTCTTCATCTTTCTTGTGAAAGCTCAGCTTTCACAGCACGATACCCTTCTTCAGAGACTGGAAGAGTCTTTCCTGACAACATGTCCAAAACCCAAGAGACAGAGTGTCACCATCCTCATTTCTAGGGAGCATGGCGGTTGTACTTCTTCCAAGACAGATTAATTCGTTCTTCTAGCAGCCAGTGGTATATTCATTCTTCTTCTTCATCGACACCATAATTCAAATGCATCAGTTCATCTTTCATCTTCCTTATTCACCAATGAGCTTCCACATGCATAGAAGGTCATTGAAAATACCATGGCTTGGGTCTAGCTCATCTTAGTCCTCAAGGTGACATCTTGGCTTTGGAATACTTTAAAGAGCTCTTTTGCTGCAGATTTCAAAAGCGATACATCATTTCATTCTTGAGTATAGGAGGAGCCTTGGTGGTGCAGTGATGAAAGCATTTGGTTGCTAACGTTAAGGTTGGCAGCTCAAATACACCAGCAGCTCAACTGGAGAAAGATGTGATCGTCCATTTCCATAAAGATTCGCAGGCTTAGAACAATTCTACCCTGTGCTACAGGGATGCTAGGAGTGGCACTGCCTGGGTGGCAGCAGGGTGGGTTGGGTTTTGCTTCCACGGGCATTGATTGTGGATCCAGGTCAAATAAAAGTCTTGATAACTGCAATCTTTTCTGCATTTATCAAGTTGGAATTGGAATAAGAGAGCAATTGCTTCACACTAAAACTGAACTTCTCTGCATCTGTATTTTAAAGCTGCATTTCTCTGATGCAATGCAAAGCATTCAGAAGTTATTATGGCTCTGACTTTCAAAAGTTAATTGAGCTTAACCTTCTTGACCACATTTACAAAAAACATTAGCTAACTCTTGCCTGTCACACTTGACAAGCTTTAAAAACACAATTTCTTTATTGCCTTGCCCACCTCTAAAACAAAATCTAACTAGCATTAATACACACTTTAAATGAGTGCTATTTAAAGTGGTCAGCTCCACCAACTGTTTTGCAATCAAGGGATATTCCCACTCTTTGAGAATTAAACAGAGCTCAATTTTATTACTACATAAGGCAAGTATGTTTAGTCACGGGGGAAATTTTGGGAGTAGCTTTCAGTGTTCCTTCATTACCTCATTATTACTGAGTTTTTTTTGTTTCGTTTTTAAATAAGTCCTGGTGTGGTGCTGTGGGATAAAGCACTGGCCTGCAAAATTGATTTGAACTAGACGTAGGTGGTTCAAACTCACCAGCTGCTTCTTGGAAATCCTATACAGAGTCGCTATGAGTCAGAACCCATTCAATCCCAACCTTAACGACAACAGAGTTAAATGGCATAAACTAGGATTCAGGAGCAGCTGAAATAATAAAAATAAACATAATTAATGATTTGGCTATGCTAACTTTAGTTAAAACTAAGTTATTTTTGTCTCTTGGTTAATATACATTGAGATATCATAAAACCTCATCTATAAGGTGATCCCGGTAAATTCTAATTGCCTAAATTTATCTCTAATCTAGTTAACCGCTGTGCATATTTGCATAATGGTATCCAGAACCAAACAATAGTTTCTAACATCAAGGAATCCTTTTCAAAGATCTTAAAACTTTGCTTTCCTTTCTGACAAATTTCAAGTTTTGGATTTAGGCAAAAGAGCAAGAATATGCCATTTGGCAACTACTGTGTCCCGGGGTCTGATAAAGACTGGCTAGTATGCCCCTTTCCTGGCTCTATAAGCAAGCTCTGGTGACGCAGTGGGTTGGTTAAGTGTGGGACTGCTCATTTAAAGGTTAGTAGCCACTCCATGGGAGAAAGATGTGGCAGTCTGCTTCCACAAAGATCTTCCACCCTGGAAAATCCATGGGGCCAGTTCTACTCTGTCCTAGAGGATCAGTGGTAGTGGTGGTGGTATGCCATAAAGTCGTTTCCAACTCATAGTCATGCTGTATTGCAGTTCTGAGGCTATAAATCTTTAAAGGAACAGAAAAGACTCAGTTTTCTCCTGTGGTGCTTGCCACTGGCAGATATGAACTTCTGACTCTGTGACTAGCATCTAGCTCATAATTCACTATGCTTAGTTACGGTGTTGGAGGAGAATACTGAAAGTGCCATGGGCTGCCAAAAGATACAATAGATCCGTTTTGCAATAAGTGCAGCCAGAGTGCTCCTTGGAGGCCAAGATGGCCAAACTTCATCTCTCATACTTTGGACATATTGTCAGGAGGGACCAGCTGCTGGAGAAGGATATCATGTTTGGTAAGGTCAGAGAAAAAGAGGAAGAGCCCCAGCGAGATGGAATGGCCAAGAGGCAGCATCAATGGACTCAAGTGTGGCAACAGTAGTGAGGTTGGCCCAGGATTGGGCAGTATTTCGTTCTGCTGTGCATAAGGTCACTATGGGTCGGTACTGACTCAATGGTACCTAACAACAACAACAACAACAATCAGGGATCCTTGTTATAAGTCAGAATTCACTCAACAGCAATGGATGATGGCTATATAAATATGTTCAAGAAGAATGAAAGAGAAAGGTAGATACTCAATAAAAATTTTTTAAAATCTTATTTATCCTTTTGTTTTCTCAGATCTTCAAACAAAAATATTTGACTCTGAAACCTAAAAACAGAACTATGCCCTAAAATCGAGTTATTCATGCTTGATCACTGCAGAGGGGTGCAATCATAATTTAGTGGTAAAATACCATACTTTTCCACAAAAAGAATAAGGCAGAGTCAACGCATCTCCTAGGCAAGGGTTTCAAGTCATCTTCATGGAAATCCATAGCTACTCTGAGAATTCCTGGAGAAGGACTGTGACATGTTCAAGTAACTTTTATAATCCAGGATATTTTAAAGAAGCAAGGCAGACAAAACTTAGTACTAGTCATAAATGGTTGGTGCAATGGCAGGAAGTGTTTCCAAAGAAGCCTCAGGCTTCAAAAGGTGACTTCTCAAACGAATTTTTGGTTTTATGTAGTGAAAACAAAACAAAACTGAGTCCTAATCTGATTAACATCCCTTCTCTGAGGGCTGAGGGAATGGCTTGTGTGCATTTTGTTCTATATTTGAGCATAGGAGTTTGTTTTGAAATAAATGAATATATGGATTTCAATTCTACAACTCTTTCTCCAAAGCAATCAGCTGTAAATGGAAAGGACATTAAAATAACAGATAATAGGTCTATACTTCCCCCACTCTAGTGTTCTCCATAGGCCTCAATTTATGATCTGTAAAAGGGGACCAATTCTAAGGAGCCCTCCAACCTTAAACATTCTTCCATTCAAATGTTCTGTTACAGACTGAACTTCTTAACCACAAATAGTGACTGAACAGGGTAACTTTGACTATCATTTCCCCATTTAAAATTTTTGCAAAGTTCCATTATTAATCTCTTTTACAATGTCCACAAGTATATGGGGCAGTTTTCAGGCATGAGCAGTCAGAGCTCCGTTTTTCATGGAGTTGAATGTGTACCCTGTCAAAGACAATGGTGTTTACGCTCCAAAGTGACTACTGAAAGCAAATGTCAGAGAAACTATATCACAGGGGACAGGGGGACAAGTGAAGGAGTTCAAGATCCCAGAGAAGCTCCCCCCAGATCTTGATCTCCATGACGTGATGGCTGTATAAGGACAAGGCGTTTGAGCTCCTTCCCAAAGAAGAGTCTCTGATGGTGATGAAAACGTTCTGAAAGACACGTGGTTCTCTGATGGAGGTCATGCCATTAACTCCGAGTGTAAATTTAAGGCAGTCCTTCACTTACTCTGAACTCGCATCTATGAAATGTTAAATCTGAAAGAGAGGAGCTGGCTTCTTCCACCTGGGGTGTTTAACGGTTTGTCAATATTCAGAGTGAAACTTTGGGTAAAGCCTAGGTCAGGTGTGATAATCCTGGATTAGAGGACTGTTTTCTGTCATTTAAAATTAGGAGGGCTTCCCTGTGGATTTGTTGTAGTTGTTAAGTACCATGGAGTCTGTTTTGACTCATAGTGACCCTGCACCTGATTTCCCAGGCTGCAAATCTTTACGGGAGCAGAAAGCCTCATCTTTCTCCCGCGGAACAGCAGGTAGTGTCGAACGGCTTACCTTGAGGTTAGCAGCCCCACTACGCGACCAGGGCTCCCCGTGGATTTAGCAGGGGTATTTAACCAGGATTCTGTATTTATACATTTATTTATCTTGTCCGGCTTTTCAATTCCTCAAACTACTACTGCTCTTGCCCTTGTCCCCATCCCACCAGAGTCCACCTGACCACGGCCCAGCATTTCCCTCTAGTTGACTCGGCCTCTTTCTTCTAGTCGCCCACAGGCCAGGTAAGGCTGTACAGAAAGAGGCACAGAGAGGAAGCCAGGGGCCCCTAGCTCCCGATGGGCAGAAACTTCACGAAGGCTCCTTACAGTCACGGCCGCCCCCTTACCCGCGATGTCCCACAGCTGCAGCCGCACCAGCGTCCTGCTGTCCCAGTTGAGGACCTTGAGGGCGAAGTCCACCCCGATGGTGGCCCGGTAGTGTTGGGAGAAGAGTTGGTGGACATAGCGCTTGATGATGCTAGTCTTGCCCACGCCGAGCTCACCGATGACCAGCACCTTAAAGAGGTGCTCGCGGGTCTCCGGCACCCCGGCGACGGCCATGTGCCCGCCCGGGTCCTCGGCTCCCCCGCCTGCCATGGCCCGGTCCGCAGCTGTCCGCCCGCTCCCGGCAGAGAGCCTCAGAGCCCCTGCCCCGGGCCGGCCCCCCAAACTTTCCGAGGCCCGCCCGGCAGCCACCGCCTGACCGGTCACAGGACCCGGAACCTCCCGGCGCGCACAAGCCCGCGCGGGGCGGGGACAGGCCGGGGCCGTTCCCCACGCCCTGCGCTCCCGCCAGCTCAGCTCCAGCCACTTCCTCCCGCTGGGGCCCTACTCCCTCTGGCGGCGCCCGTCCCCAGCCGCCCTCTGGCGGGCCCCGCGATTCCCCCCGCAGCCGGAAACTGAGCGGAGGCCGCCTACATGCTCGTGAGCCGCTGGCCGTAGCGCTGGGGGCACAGAGACCTGGTGAAGGCGCTGGCCCAGCAAGCAGCTGCCTAGCTGGACTTGGCCCAGAGGTCATGGCCTTTGGCCTCCAGCAGCCAGCTTTGGAAAACTTGCAAGTGGAAGAATGACCCTGAATTTAACAAAGGACTGGTACAACTTTTCTATTTAAATGAAGGAATGGGTCCCAGAATGGAAACAAGGTTTAAAGATTAAAGCTACCTGTTGAGTTGAAGTTTTACTTTCCTTCCCAAACACTTTTTTTGTTGATGTTTGTTTGTTTGTTTGTTTTTAAACCTTCAGACTATAGATAGCATTTAGAATGCAGTTGTGGTTATGTGCCATGGAGTCGATCCCAACCCATAGCGACCCTGCATAGGGTTTCCCAGACTATAAATCTTCACTGGAACAGAAAGCCTCATCTTTCTCCCATGGAACAGCTGGTAGTTTCGAACTGCTGACCCTGAGGTTAGCAGCCCAACTTGTAACCGCCACGCTACCAGACCTCCTTTAGAATAGATTTTTAAAAAAACACTAAGGTTTTTGTTTCTAAGTGCCACCGAGTCGGTTCAGACCCACAGCGACCCTGTATAGGGTTTCAGAGAAGCAGCTGGTAGCTTGAACCGCTGACCTTGTGGTTCAAACCGACCTTGAAGTCCAGCGCATTATCCTGCAGCGACACTACAGTGGGAAAAATAAGCAGTAAGTCCCTTGGTTGACAATATTAGACTTAAACGGACAGCTCGTCTTGCTTTTTCATGTTATGTGGCTTTGTTGGGTAAACACTAGATTGACCCTGTAAGCTCAGTTTGAACCTCAAGGTCGACAGTTCAAACCAAGCAGCCACTGCTTGGAAACCCAAAACAGGGTCACTATGAGTCGAAACCTACTTGAAGGCACTTAACAACGACAACCACAACAAACTTGTAGCAAATGCATCACAATGACCTTCACTTGCTGCAAGTACCTGTTTTAGATTCTAGAAAAGACTTCGAGCCTTTTTTGCACAAATTAACGCTAAATAACTGTCTGCACCGAATACTACAAAATTTACTTAGAGACACACTTAGGAAGGGATCATCTTGGAAATCTGGGGACAGCCAGACTACAGAGGACTTTTATTTTGAAGAAGATAGAAAGCCTTACTTTGCTTGCTGTATTTATACAATTGAGGGACACCCTCCACACCTCCTAGAATTTAGAAACACCTGGAGTTGATATCCTTTGCTAGCTTCCTCAAATAAAACTAAGTCAACGCCTTGCCTTGCTGTCTCTACTTGACAGCCATTGAAAGATGTTTTTTTTTCAGAGGTGGAGGCGTTTTAAAATTTAGAAGTCAAAGTGGGAGTAAAGCCTTTTCTAGAATAACTTTTGAAAAATAATGGAACTGTCTCTTCAGAATCCTGGTGGGTTGAGCATTGGACTGCTAACTACAAGTTCGAAGTTCAAGCCCACCAGCTGCTCCTGGGGAGAAAAATGAGGCAGTTTGCTCCTGTAAGGATTTACAGTCTCAGAAACTCCCTGGAGGAGTTGGACTCAGTTCTAAAGGGTCACGATGAGTTGGAATCATCTTGGTGGCCGTAGTGGGTCTCTCAGGATGTTTTATGGTCAACCTAGCATATGGTTTCTAGTTCACAGAATTAGAGAGCTCCTCCAATGCCATCTCTAGCATATTGTTCCAGATGTACATACTACTATCGATTTTTTTTTCCAGTTTCTTTTTTCTTTAACTCTCCTAGACTTTCACTGACATTAGAAATAGAATTCTTAAGTGCTGTCAAGTCGGTTTGGATTCATAGCAACCCTGTATTGGGTTTCCAAGAGGCAGCTGGTAGGTTTGAACTAACACCATTGTGGTTAGCAGTTCAGTGCTTATCCTATAGCACTACACCAGAACTCCTAAATTAGAATTATGGTGCTAAAACTGATCATGTTGTTAGGTGCCATCGAGTCGGTACCGACTCATAGCGATTTTATGTACACAAAACACTGCCTGTTCCTGGGCCAACCTCACAATTGTTGCCATGCTTGAGCCCATTGATGCTGCCACTTTGCCAATCCATCTCTCTGGGAGTCTTCCTCTTTTTCTCTGACCCTCCACCTTACCAAACCTGATATCCTTCTCTAGTGACTGGCCCCTCCTGACAATAAGTCTGAAGTATGAGAGGCAAAGTTTGTCCATCCTGGCCTTCAAGAAGCACTCTGGCTACACTTCTTCCAACACAGATCTGTTGGTTCTTTGGCAGCCCATATCACTTTCAATAGTCTCCTCTAACATCATAACTCAAAAGCATCAATTCTTCTACAGTCTCCTTATTCACTGTCCAGCTTTCACATGCATATGAGGTTATTGAAAATACTATGGCTTGGTTCAGGTGCACCTTAGTCCTCAAGCTGACAACTCTGCTCTTCAACACTTTCAAAAGGTCTTGTGCAGATTTGTCTAATGCAGTACATCATCGTTTGATTTCTTGACTGCTGCTTCGGTGAGTGTTGATAGTTGATCCAAGAAGAATGAAGTCCTTGACAACTTCAATCTTTTCTCCATTGATAAGAATGTTATTT